TCAGAGTGGCCTTCATTAGGCGCAGGCCTCGCTCTATCCAAACTTTACTTTACTATCATGATCTTTGTATCTTATGTAATACCACTGTTTGTAATATCGGGAACATTCCTCGCAGTGTCGCACAAACTAAATAAAAGCAGCAAGTTTATCCACGTTATCAATTCGCAACATGAGAAAGACAGTGAATTACTTAACTTACACAGTAGAAAGTTTAGCCCAACAAGAAGGCATGCCAATCGGCTCGCTCAAAACAGACGCGCTAAAATGATTTTAACACCAGTTGTTGGAGTGTTTGCTGTGTTCATGCTTCCGCTGACAATTCTTCGCCTATACGTTGTATTTTGGCCCCCTATTTTCACACAAACATTTTACAGCGACTTGCTGTTTGTGGTTTCAGTTGGTGTTATAATCAACTCGTCTGTAAACCCGGCCATATACTCGGTGGTTAGGAAAGACTTCCGTCGCCAAATGGTCCGATTACTTTGCTGGAAGAGAAGATCATCGCGGGGCCAGAAGCATAATCGAGCTATTGTTTCTGTCAAATCGGGTCTCAATCAGATTTCTCGTTCTTGAATCAGAGATAAAATGGAATCGCGTTTAACTCGAAGAGGTACATTCAGCTGCTTTAAGGATTAATTTGTTTATTCTTTTCTTAAGCACGTTTTCGATTGACGTTGTTTATCGAGTGTATTTTATAAAATAGCCAACGTTATAGGGTACAGTTTTTATTAAAGCATTCATCATATGTCACAAACGAGAATTCAGCATAACTCTGTTATATTTATAAACTACTAGGATTTAATCTGAAATAAAGGTGTTTATCCGAATGAAAAAGTTGTGCATTCAGCATATAGTTTCGTGACAAATGACTTCACAAAGCCGGAGAAGATTGATATTGTTAGCTCAGCTCGGAATCGTAACTCTCTCCCTCCGACAGTGTAACCCCGAGGGCATGGCTAAAAGCCCTCAAGCCATTTACATGTAGCTTTAATAAATCAACGATTGTATAGCGCCACCTGAGCAAAACTCTTTAGTAAGACCTAACTTCACAAATTGGAAAAATGACAAAAGTCAGAAATGGAGTAAATATATCTATTTACTGTTAACAAGATGCGTGACTTGATTCAGGTGTCTTTTAGGCCTGATTTTTTTCTTTTTCTTTAAAAGGATTCATAATTGGAAACTTCGTTTTTTCGTTCGTTTTACGGAGCATTAGTCAGGTGTCTCCACTGCGCTGCTAACACACAAAGCTCGATGTTAGGTCAGAGATCTCCCATTGGGTTAATACACCACCGTGTAAAAGATTAATTGTTGAAAGCTTCGGGGAAAAAATGCAAATTTTGATCATTAGAGTAAACTAAACCTGGTGAGATCAAAATTTGTGCCTGTCGTCAGTCTTCCGTCTTGCGATGAATGGCTATGAAAAACAACACATTTACAAATGCAATTGTATTACAACAGGATTTTGACTTGAAAGAGTCTTAAATAGGGGAGAATAAAGGAAAAGACATCGATTACAGATGAAGTTTTCCAACACTAACAATTCTGAGTATATAGAATGAATGATTTTGCCACATGCGTCATTTGAAAGTGAAGAAGTGTATTTTTCCTTTCGAAGTAAGAACTACATCATGGACCACTTTAATATTCTGAATACTGTTCGGTCTTCCATTTCAATCTCATTTCAAATCTCATTTATTTCTGCTCATGTTTGCGGGTTTGTGTTCTCTGTTCCCACGTAGATTTGATTTATGTCAATGTTTTGTTTTTTTTTTTAATTAGCAATACACTATAAAGTTGAAATCAAAGGATTTTAATCTCTGGGTTAAAACGGACTCAAAATGAGGAGGAGATGAGAGATATGATATGCACGAGAGGGGACTGGATCACATACATTATTCATGGCGGGCGCACTGAAAACCATAAAGAAACAACAAAAGGACAAAAGATTATCGAGCACCACAGGACTGACATGAGCTGCATGAGAACCGAGTAGATGCAAGCGCCGGAAGTCTTTTTGTTTTTACGGGTCAGAAATTAGTTTGGTCACGCATTCTGAGGTCTAATTTCACAAAATGGAAAAATGTTGATTATTTATGAGGTTCTATTTTATCATATCTTTGGGTTATTCTAACGTTTCGATACAAAGCGGGATGTGATTGGTTAAAACAGCAGTACCAAACTAAGGAAAGCTACAGTGAGCCGATGTTGAGATTTGCGCTTCAGCTCTTTGACGAGACTTGACCCAAATCATACTTTTCCTGTAATTTGCACAAACACCGCATTGAGAGCGAATCAATTTTTGCTGCACCTTGTGTGCTACTTTTTTTTCTAAACACATTTTGACGTCACGTGATCAACGATTATGGGCTTTTTCATCTCAATAGGTTTATCTACATAGTGAAGGCCATGAACACCAATTAAGAAATGAACAAAAAGGAAATGATCAAATGAAGAGATTGCTGAAAAAATATAAAAAAATGAAAAAATTCAGGCTTGGACGTGATTCAAACCTTTGTCTCCCTGACACTAGTTGGGCGTTTTACTTACTCGACAACGAGGAAACTTCTAGTAGGTTTTTCGTTCCAGTTAAGGAATTTGATCACAATTACACAAAGCAAAACACGTCTTGACCTGCAGTTGATAAGAAATGACGAAATGACGGATCCTTACAGATAAACAGAATTACGATTGAAGAAAGTTTAGAAAAAGGACACTGCCACCTAAGCATTATATTTTCTTGTTAATAATAGTCAAAATGAAAAAAATATTGGAAGAGTGTCAAATATAGATTGGCACAAAGAAACAACTTAATGGGGACATCGAAGAGTAAAAGACCATTTTTAAAACATCTAGAATAAAACACATTTTATTTCGTTGCATTATAATATATGAAAATATTTTGGGAGGGGAGGGGGATAAAACAGCTGTGCATGTCCACAGAGGCCAGTGTAATAATAGCATTTACTGCGTTTCACCTCCCCCGCCCCCACCCATTGACATGCCAAAAATGTGCGCGAGAGAAAAACAATCACAGTTCTGGAGGTGGCTACCGAAAATATGAATGTTTATTACAAATGCTTTTTTAACGTCCATCTCAGTAAGGAATAGTTTGATACCAATGGTTCTCTGACTGACGAAAACTACTCAAGTCCTACTGTACTGAAAAATCCGTTTCAATTCACGCCGAAAGTCCTTCTTAACAACCGAATAAATCAATGGATTTGCGGACGAGTTGATAATGACGCCCACTGAGACCACAAACAGTAAGTTTTCATAAAATGTTTGCTCAATAATAGGCGGCCAAAATACAATGCAAAGTCGAAACATTGCCAGAGGCAGCATGAAAACTGAAAAAACTACAACAACTGGTGTTAAAATCGCTTTGGCGCGTTTGTTTTGAGCGACGCGGAGACTATGCCTGGGTGAGCAGTCGTCTTTATCACAAAGATTCATAACCAATGTAATATTCTCTTTTCCTTGTTTCATGACCTTGATGAACTTGCTACTTTCATCTAACGTTCGTGACACTGCAAGGAACGTTCCTAGTATAACAATAAGTGGAATTATGTAAGAAAGCAGAACAATTAACATGTTGTAGACCTGAGGTAACACAAAGCCTTTACCCCACAAAGGCCATTCTGCACCGCACCAAATGGTTCCGTCGTTTGATGTCTCTCTGTAGCGAACAACGAAATACAATGGGAATGAAAACAAGAAAAATGAAGCCATCCAAATACACGCAGCAACCATCTTTGCTTTCTTCAGTGAAGCTCGAAGTCTGGGGTTTACTTTTGATGGCCTACCGATTTTCTGATAACGTTCTATGCCAGCCGCTGTTATGAACCACACAGATGATCCATGAAATATTTCGACAACTGGAAGAAAATACAGGCAAACGATCTTTCCAAATGGCCAGTCATTAGGAAGTCTTTCACGCGTTGCGGTAAATGGTAACGCCAACAGCAAAGTTCCTAAATCTGCAATGGCCAAGTTGATCATATAGAAATCCATTACACGTGTTTCTTTCACCTTAATCCTATTCAAAATAATGGTGACCAGAATGTTGCCAATAACACCAAACGAAGCACATGTTGCATAGAGAGTTAGTTTTACTACTTCGACTGGTAGTGACTCCGCTGGATCGCTCTTTGTTCCGTAAAGAGGAGACGAGATAGGACCAGTACAATTGTAGCTCACGGTGTTATTAGCCATGCTTAATTAAAGTCCTTTCTTTCCTTTGGTTATCTGAAGGTTAATAGTAATGCATTGAATTTAGTCAAGTAAAACGGTTTCAATAGAATAAAGAGCATATAAGGCCATCGAACTACTCTAAGTAACATGCAGAAGTATGTCTTAATTTCTTATGGAAAATTTCACTCAAGTAACCGAGCTGAGATGCATGCCTGATATAACATCCATTTGGGATACTTCACTTTGGTTGCCCAGCTAGTTGCGATGAACAAAGCGCGACCTTTCAAGTTTCGCCCAAGTAGTTGCGTTGTGCGCTGTTCACTTGAAGAAGCCTGTTTTTAAATTTCTCGACCGAAATAACAGATATTTCAATAACCACCATCGGATTACGCAAAATTAAAGATCTTCTGAATCCATCGTAATTTTTTTTGAGGAAAAGGCTGATGAAGGTCTTATAGAGAGGGCAGCAAAAGATCACTGAGCTACAGACCTAGGTAAGCTCAAGAGAATATAATTTTCTTGGTAAACTGCTGGACCATGGTCGTGAAGTTAACTGATGCGATAATGTAGCTCACCTGTAACTGTTTTTGAGCCTACGGTTTGTTGAAGATTAGAGCTTGCTAAGGATCACCGTGACATTAGCACGTAACAGCAATAAATACGTACGTCAGTAGCAAGAAGGATCATTGCTGTTTTATACATTATCACTTATAAATACGCGCCTTGATGCTTTTTAATATTCACAGCTATTGATATTGTTGCGATTCTTTGGTTGTTTGGTCATTTTAACATTGTCATGGTCGTTGCTTTAGACACAACATCAAGTTAAACTGTAAACCGGTATACTCCAATAACTTTGAGCAGCTGTCATAGTGTAAGATTTACATGACTACAGACCTCCTACGTGGAACTGAACAGTGGCGGATATTTACATCGCAAAATGTTTTCTTCTCACTCTGGATTTCGTCGACATTTTAAGCGCTTATCGGCCACAGAATTACATCTTATTTGCCAGCAGCGTATGAGGTTTAACCGTGGCTGGGAGTAGTATCTTATGGTTACTCAACGCTTAGCAAAACACTTGTTGCATATTTGTATGTCGGTGGCTGTCATGAATACCAATAGTTCATGTCCTCACGTGCTGTAAGCCAACATCACGACACACAAAATTAAAAGAATACATGCAGAGATCAGATTCCATGGTAATTCCATCAAAATTGTATTCATTTCATTGTTGGCTCTAGTGTTTACATCAAAGACTAATATGTGTTTTTTAAACGACTGCTGAAGTACATGTGGGTCAAATCTCAAACAAAGTAACCTAAAAACTGCTTCTGAGCTAACTGACACAACGTTTTAGGAAAGTGAAACCTGCGAACATAAACTCCAGAATATCAAGATGTCAAGGGGCTGCTGAACAGATCAGTTCTTATCTAATGCGAAACCAACGAGATCGATACAAGACGTTTAACGTTTTCCTCCAAGAGCTTCAGGTTCATTTTATCTACCCTTAGAATAAATTGATTTTGTGCTGCATTATTAAGCTTTTACTTTTTTCTGTATTATAAGCCTACTTTCGTTGTATCGGGTAGTCTC